AAATATTGTGTCGGATACTCAGGCAGTATTAAAGGCCTTCCGGGACATGAAGGGTTTGAAGGCAACGAAAAGGATGACTGTCTCACAAAGCGTGGAGCCGAAATGCGCTTGCATGGTCCCGAGCCATTCTGCGGTACGTCTAAAGGATACTCTGCAGAACTACTTAGGACCTGGAAAGAATCTCAGATTGCTGCCCACTGGCGGAAGGCAAAGATAATAAGACAGTCAAAGAGATTCATAACTCCTCCCAGGAGGAACTCCGCAAGAATCCTTAAGCGTAGGACTCTTAGGAGCCAACCCCAGAGTTTATTCTGTGTGCCTGCCCACGAAGTATGAATCGTAGACTGATGCACCTTGGAGAACGATTGCCTTCTCCATCTAAAATTTGAAATATAGCACCGTCCAAAGTGCTTAGATTTTTGAATACCCTAAGGTTGGAGTGATTACAATTAGGGTTTAGCACAATAGATCTTCTTAGGTCGCATAAGTCTGTACAGTAAAATGAATTGTTAACGCAGTTAATTTATATTTATTGTACTAGCTGTTTTAGTTTTACTAAATGTTAAGTTATCTTCATTTCAAATAAACTCGACCCTGAAAAAAAAAATATTAAAAACTTAAAAATATTTTGGTAGGTTTTGGTTGATTTTTGTAGGAAAAAATGTGTCTGTGGCAACACTGATCCATATTCAGCCCTGTTCTGCAATCCGAGTTGGAATCGGAATTCAATTCCGATTCGGAATTTAAATGGTGTTCCACAATTCGATGGAAACTTTTGTTTCTAAGTTAACACCGAACAAGTAAGAGCAGCGCTGTCTTCGGCTATGCCGAAGGCCTCATACCTTTCATGAGCATCTGAAAATTTTACTTTAACAGATTACCCCATTTGAAAAAATGTATATATTCACAGCAGGCATAGATAGAGGAGATGCATATATAAAAAATAATATCTAAACAATCAGAGGTATGGAAGATATACCTTATATAGCACCAATCTAAATGATTTTCACTGCTGTGTGATCGGTACGTGAACCGGTAACACAATTTAATGGATTTAGCTACCTACATCAAGGAGATATATCGCAAAGACTGGTATCTGAACAATCAGTGGTATAAGAGATGAAGCATATACACAGCATACATTTTGACGATTTTCTCAGTAGACTTTGTATTATTATTTATAAAATAGCTCACGAAATTTATCGGTTTTAGCTGTCCAAATAAAGGAGTTTTACAGTAAAACCCCATATCTGAACAATCAGTTGTATGGGGGCAATAAACAGGTTATAGGTACCCGATCTTTGTTAATTTCACTGTAAACTTTCTGTGGATAATGAGTGAAAATAGTGCGAAATTTCATGTTTCTAGCTGCATAGATGGAGTAGTTATAACAAAAAATCTCATATCTGAACAACCAGTTGTATGGGAGCTATATGTAAAAGTGACCCGATCTTTGATATTTCCGCTGTATATTCTGTTGTTAATGGCTGGAAGTATTGCAAAATTTCATGTTCCTAGGTGCATAAATAGAGTAGTTATAACGAAAATTCCTATAACTGAACAATCAGTTGTATGGGAGATATATGTTATAGTGACCCGATCTTTTTTATTTTTACTGTAAGTATTCTGTTAATAATGAGTGAAAACGGTGCGAATTTTGATGTTCCTAGCTGCATAAATGAAGAAGTTATGGCAAAAATTCTCATATCTGAACAATCAGTTGTATGGTGGATATAGGTTATAGCGACCCGATCTCTGTAATTTTCACTCTAAGTTTTCTGTTGATAATGGGTGAAAGTATTGCAAAATTTCATGTTCCTAGCTGCGTAAATGGAGAAGTTATAACGAAAAATCTCATATCTGAACAATCAGTTGTATGGGAGCTATATGTTATAGTGGTCCGATTCTTCCGGTTCCGACAAATGATTAATACATT